AGAGTTATAGTTCTAAGAAAGTTGTGTAATAATTAACGAAATTTGGTCATGTTTCTATATTAAAATGTTGAGAATTCATTTATTTTTATTTTTTATTTGAAAGTTAAAGAGGGGCTAATGGCATCTTTAACCTTGCACCATTGCACCATAATTAACCAAATTGTACCAAATATTTGATGCAAATCTCCTCCAACCTATTGCACCAAAATGGTAAATATCATGTTACCCTTCTCTTTCACTTTGCAAAAAAATAATAATTATAATAATAATAATAAATAAATAAATTATTAAGAGTATTTGTGTCCATTTTTGTTATATATTTATTTTCTATTCTTCTTCTTCTTATTGTTATTGTTATTGTTATTATGTGCATTTGTAATAATTTCTAATTATGTAATCAATAATAATTTAAGAAATGAATTAAAATAAAAGCACTTAAGAAGTTTTAAAATATAACAAAAACGATTAGTTAAAGTTAAGACGAAAATGTCACTACAACCAAACGCATGTCATTCTACAATTATTTAAGGACAATGTTACATAAAACAAGTGAATTTAATATTTTCGTTAATTTAACTTAATTATTTATTTAGTAATTTATGCAGTTGTAAAATAAATAAATAAAAAATTTTTGAAGAAAATGATTAAACATTGTTTATTTGATATATATTTTGATGTAATGGATTTGAGATGATTTTCAGTTTGGTATAAAATTTGATGCAAAATGATGCAAAAATTATCTTAAATTTTGGTACAGGGTTGAAAATGGCTTCAACAATTAAAACAATAATAGCGGGTCCCAAGAAGAAAAATAAGTACTCTATGCCTCGTATACATTGACTATGGTGTTCGGTGTAGACAATTGGTGATGGATCAATTAAGACAAAATGACAATCGGTGATTGAAAATTAGAAATTTAATATTTCTAAGAAAGTCGTGAGATAGTTTAATGAAAACTGGGAACGTGTTTTTATATTGGAAGGTTGAGAATACATTTATTCTTTTTTGAAAGTTAGAGACTGACTAAGAATTAGAACAATAATAGCGGACCCCACTAAGAAAAATAAGTACTCTCGTATACATTGACTTTTGGTGTTCAACATGAACAATTGGTGATTGAACATAATAATAATAACATAAAATGACAATTGGCGATTGAACAGAATAACAAAAAATGACAATGGGTAACTGGAAATCAAACATATTTCTATGAAAGTCGTGTGATAACAAAACGGAAACTTGGCGGTCAAGAGTTTATTTATTCTTTTTTGAAAGTTAAAGACAAACTAAGAACTTCAAAAATTAGTGAAGAACAATAATAGCGGACCCACGAAGAATAACTAGCACTTTATACCTCGTATACATTGATTTTGGTGTTTGGTATGGACAATTGGTGATTGAATAGAATACCATAAAATGACAAATGGTCAAACGTTGGAAGGAAAAGGCCATCTGAAAGCAAATAGTTTGAAAAAGGATCGAAACTTCAACTTTTTCCTTTATGTTTGGCAATTTTTGACTAGTTCAAATATAAAAACAACACAAACAAATTGGTTTCTTAGTCTGTTACACAAAAGTTAGCCATTGTTTGGTAGGGATTAAAATTAATTTTTTAATAAATTTTGATAAAAGTTGATAAAATATGTAATTAAAAAGTTGTAAATTCCATGAAATATGTGGTTAAAATTAATTATTGATTTTGATTTAAATTAAAATATCCCTACCTACCAAATAGGGGCTTAATTTGGCTATACACAAATAAATTAATAGAACTAATACATAATTAGCACGTAGGTCGTAGGGTGCTGAATAGCCTTGTACAACCTGCAACACACGATTTCATGTAGCGTGTTCACTAACCATCTGAATTCATGAATTCTATCACAATGTTTAGTCCTTGTTTAGTTTAGCTAAAAATCAGATTTTTAGTAAAATTTGATAAAATTGATGGGATGTATGCTTGAAAAATTGATTAAAATTGTGGGTATCATGAAATGTGTGGTTAAAATTAATTATTGATTTTAATTTAAAATTTTTATCAACTTTTTTAATTAAATCAAACAGGGACTAAATGTGAAAGCGTTTGTGGCATATGATAATTGAAAAGCATAAAAACGTACCTAACTTAGATGCAGTCGGAATAGTTTTGAGCAAAGAAAAAGAACAATAAGTGCATGTGTATACATAGAAATCGACAAATTTTTTCTTTAATTTCAGTCAATTATTTTGCATTTCACCTTACTAAACAAGCTGTAAAAATATGACATATACTGTATGACACAAAGATATATTTGCTGGCAACTTTCAAGAGTACGACATTTGCTGCTTCTGCTATCCTATGTACCGTTTATATCATTACAGAGATTTACGGTTGACTGGATAGAGATCTCTGGAAGACGTAGACGAAGAGCCAATTTCTCGTGCATCAGAAGGATGAGAAAGGGTCTGAGTTTCCCTTGAATTAGGTTTCAAATCTTCAAACTTCTCTTTGAGTGATTGAAGCTTCAATTCATCTTCATAGATGCTTGGATCTATCTTAAATTCCTCTACATTTATATGTCCTTCAAGCATGCCACAAACTGTGGACATTGGAGGCCTTAGGGCCGGAGATAAATTGGTGCACAATAGAGCAACTTTGATCATTCGTTCTGCCTCGTCCATAATGAAATTCGAACCCAACCTTGGATCCACGATCTCCATCAACCTTCCTTCATTCTGCAAAACCATAGCCTGAGACAAAAGGTCATTGCGTAAGACCTTGTTTCATGGACATAAGAACTAAAAACAGGTTATTGAGACAAAACTCCATTATCTGATGTGGAGAAAATACAAATTTCTTACCCAATCAAGAAGGCAAAAGAAATTTTCACTGGGACGATATTTCATGTTGTTCTTTCCAGCAACAATTTCTAGTGCAACCACGCCAAAACTGTACACGTCTGCTTTGTAGGTTAAGTAACCCCACATTGCATATTCAGGAGCCATATACCCACTGCAAAATGAAAATGATCAATTGCATATTAGCACAAGCTTTCACTCCTATTTCTCATAAGAAAGTTCAAACTTCATATATTACATGTCGATGTTCTGAATTATTATAATTATTGTAGAAAATGAAATGATACTAAATATTCCCAGAGACTTTAAACTGCTTTCATTTTATTCAAGTTTGTCTAAAAAGTTTACTTATAGGTAAAATAAAGTAAATATTATAATAAATAATTTTTTTATTGATAAACTAAAAGAATGAAGAGATTAGAAAGAAGAAAGAGGAAAAAACTCACATAGTCCCAGCAACTCTAGTGCTGATGTGGGTGTTATCATCTTCATCAAGTTT